CCTCTATGGCAAGGTCCCTTCCTATCCTCACTTTCGGGTTTTTGGATGTCTTGCCTATGCCACCACTGTGAATGTTCCTCATAAGTTTGCTCCTCGAGCCACCCGTTATGTCTTTCTTGGTTACCCATATGGCCAGAAAGCTTACAAGCTCTTTGAGCTTACCACCCATCGAGTCTTCACTAGTCGTGACTTTGTTTTTCATGAACATGTTTTCCCTTTTGAGACGCTTTCCTTTTCACCTTCCCTCCCTCTTTCTGCCACTGTCCTCCCTCTTTCTGTGTCTGATCTTTTTCTTCAGTCTTTTTTCCCCTGACCTACTTCTCCACCCTCTTGTTACCGCTCCAGAACAGCCCCTTTCCAATCCCGATCTACCCAGTCCCACTCATGCTCCTCTCTTACGTCGTTCTCACCGTTCTCATGCTCTTTCACTAGCTTTACGTGATTATGTTTGCAACCAAGTCACCACTACACTCCCATTGTCATCTTTGTCATCTGGTCCACACAAAGGTACACGGTATCCTCTTAGCAATTTTCTTTCTTATCATCATTACTCTTCATAGCATCGTTCCTTTGTTGCTACTATTAGTCAGAATGTTGAACCTTTTTCTTATGATGAGGCTACTTCTCATTCTTACTGGCTTGCCGCCATGCAATCTGAATTGGTTGCTTTGGACGCTAACAACACTTGGTCTCTCACTTCTCTTCCCTGTGGCAAACAGCCTATTGGTTGTCATTGGGTTTATAAGATCAAACGGCACTCGGATGGCACCATCGAGCGTTAAAAAGCTCGTCTCGTTGCCAAGGGTTACACATAGCTGGAAGGTATCGATTATCACGACACTTTTTCTCCCACTGCTAAGATGATTACCGTCCGTTGTTCATTAGCTCTGGCTGTTGCCCAAAATTGGTCTCTTCATCAACTGGATGTCCACAATGCTTTTCTTCATGGTGATCTCTATGAGGAAATTTATATGTCTCCGCCTCCTGGTCTTCTGCAACAGGGGGAGCATCTGGTATGTCGCCTCAACAAGTCCTTGTATGGTTTAAAGCAAGCTTCTCGTCAATGGTTTGCCAAATTCTCTATAGCTATTCATGCTGCTGGTTTTGTTCAATCCAAAACAGATTACTCTTTGTTTACATGTCGAAATGGCAAATCCTTTACAGCATTGTTGATATATGTTGATGACATTCTTATTATGGGTAATGATCTCACTGCTATATTTGCTCTTAAGCAATTTTTACACAGTCATTTTTGGATTAAAGATTTGGGTAATTTGAAGTATTTTCTGGGCATTGAAATCTCTTGTTCAAAGAAAGGCATCTCTATATCACAATGCAAATACGCTTTGCATATTCTAAAGGATGGTGGATTATTGGGAGCTAAACCTGTCAACTTTCCCATGGAGCAAAACATCAAACTCCCGGATAAAGGTGCATTACTTAGAGATCTATCTCCATATAGGCGGCTTGTTGGACGCCTAATTTATTTGACTATTACCCGGCCAGATATCACTTATTCAGTGTATGTGTTAAGCAAATTCATACATGCACCACGCAAACCGCATATGGACGCTGCCTTACGTGTGTTGCGTTATTTGAAGAGCAGTCCAGGCCAGGGTTTGTTCTTCTCTTCTCAGAATGATTTTTCTTTGCGATCTTTTTCAGATTCAGATTGGGGTGGTTGTCCAATGTCGCATAGATCCACTACGAGTTACTGTGTCTTTTTGGGATCTTCTCTTATTTTAGACAAAGAGGCAGAAAACGGTATCCCTCTCCTCAGCAGAAGCCGAATATAGAGCCATGGCAGGTACATGTTGTGAATTATCTTGGCTACGCTCATTGTTGAAAGACTTGCGAATATTGCATCCAAAATCGGCATTATTATATTGTGATAGCAAAACAGCCCTGCATACTGCAGCCAATCCAATTTTTCATGAAAGAACCCGATACATAGAGATGGATTGTCATTTCATTCGAGACAAAATACAAGACGGCTCAATTATAACCGAACACGTTGCTTCGGAAAAACAGCTTGCGAATGTATTCACCAAGCCATTGGGAAAGAAAGCTTTCTCAACCATGATACACATGTTGGGAGTTCTTGACCTTCACTCTCTAACTTGAGGGGGAGTGTTGAGAAGATAAAGGCTATCCCAATATCAATGAGATAAACTAGGAAATAGTTATGCATTGTATTTACTGTAAATCTTTAAGATACCTATTATAGATGGGATTCCTAGGATGTCACTTGTATAAAGCTATATACTCAGATTTAAGATTTATTTAAGGTAGAATATTTTCTCCTCTATTTCACAAGAAGGCTAGATTATAAGTGGAGGAACATCATGTTTTTTTAACAAGATATAATCAAATGTCTTCTCTATGTACTACTTCCTCTCAATTTGATGAAGGCTTTTTAGTTTTTTCATTTTTAAAAAGATTGTGGACATTTGCACGTTGTTATCAATCATTTGTGATGCTAGAACATTTCTTTAGACAAATCATGCAATTTCATTTTCTTTCTTGGACATTCATATACATCCCACAAATTTTTCAAACTTTACAATCATATGCAGACGAATTTTATTAAAAATAACAATTTTTTTTCTTTATTAATATAAATTTTTATATTTTGGTCCAATTGTCAGCATTGCATGTTGTTACAATCACTGGTGTACTGCCACATCATTTGTCCAGATTTTAAATTTAATTAGGACTGAGCAAGAAATCCGTATAATCTGTAATCCGATCCGGCCGGATTGGATTGATTTTTTGAATCCGTGGTTCGGTTCCGGATTAGGAATTTGATAATCCGTAGGTCACGGATCGGTTCCGGATTGGAACTGATCCGGACTATATACATTTAAGTCTATATGTATACCATGTACCCTCACACATAATATAATTTCGTGTTTTATATAAAGTTCAAGACTAGCCCTAATTCACTCTACACGCCGCTCAGCAGCTCACTCACTGCCTTAGTGCCTCTCACACTCTTATTTCTCTCTTCTCTTTCTCATTCATCTCCGATCATGCATCTCAGACGCCGTTTACTCAGTCACTGCCTCTCACACTCTCATCTCTCTCTTTTGGTACTCTCTCCAACCTCACGCCACTCACTTACTACCTCTCACACTCTTATCTCTCTCTCTCTCTCTCTCTCTCTCTCTCTCTCTCTCTCTCAGATCCTCCATCTCAAATCAGATCATCTATCTCAGATTGGTATCTGTAGCTCTCTCTCTCTCTTGGTGAGCTCCCCACCTCTCTCTCTCTCTCTCTATATATATATATATATGTATATTATATTTTCTTTTGTGGATTTCTTCTGCAACCCACTTGTTGATTTTTTCAGCCTCTGATTTGTTACATTTGATAACTCATATATATTTTTTTTGTGGGTTTCATGTGTGTTTTGCTTCTTTTTGCATTGTAGTCTTAGATTTATGTTTTGTTTTCTTTATAATTCTGTTTTTTGCATTACTCTTAGATTAATATTATATTTGTGTATGTTCTGTTGGATTGCCCTGTTTTTTAAGCCATAATTGATAACTTTGCTCATATATGATCTGTTTGATTTCATCTCAGATCATTACTTTTTTCCCCTGTTTATGGAGTTTGTTAATGTGTATCCAGAATATCAGTAATGTGTATCCATGATGTGCTGCATTCATGTTTTTTTTTTCCCTTTGCGTAATGTATATCCAGTTTTAGGATAACTCTGCTATGGTGGTTATGTTTTAAAAAAATTAAAATGTTCTATATTTTTGTTGTTATTTAATTATGTGAATCCGTGGTCATAAACCGATCCAATCCGTGTTTATACGGATTGGTTCCACGATTTAAATGGATTGGATTGGTTCTAATTTTTCAGGAACCGTAGATAACGGATTGGTCTTGGTTTTACCCCAATCCGAACCAATTCAGACTATGCTCACCCCTAAATTTAATTCTTTGATGTTTATCAATTTTTTTATATGGATTACCAACTTAAAAGTTTCATGAATAATGCATAAATTATGTTCAAATAGATGAGTCTCATATGTGTAGTTATTTACATTTATTGAGATAATATATAATCAGAGAGAATATGAAAGGGGTTATTTTTTGCTTGTTTAATCCAAAATTACCAAAATAAAGATTAGTTGTTGCTTAATTCAATTCAAATTTACTAAAACAAAGTTTAATTATTCTTTGAGACTCCAGCTTCGTGATATGCACGCGCAAGATGCGATTGAATTTTTTAGCAAAATCAAAACTTGCCAAGTCCATTTTCGTAATTTGATTTAAGCCATTTAGTGGTGATCCGTGCATGCATGAGGGTCATTTTTATACTGTATAGCTATGACCCGATATCATTTTATGAATTAAAAATATTTTTTTTCCTATTTACTTCTTATATGATGTGATAAAAATAAATAATTTATTTTTAAAATACAGTTATTCTAACTATACCTGTTACACAAAATAGAACAAGTCAAATTGGTTTATTCAAAAAATAGGTATATAGGGTTCGTTTGAGAAGAATGGATTGGATGGATTTGGGATTATTTTAGTTATAAAAAAGAAAAATAAAATTTTTAACTTAATAAGATAAAACATCACATCCAATCCATAATCATTATATTCTTTCACAAAAAGTCAAAAATATAAAAAAAATTCTTCTCAAACGAGACTTTTTAATCCCAAATTAAAATAGTCAAAAAATTAACCTACTACCTAAACGAATCCATAATATTATTAAAAAAAAATGTAGAACTAATTGATGAGGGAGTGCTAAGCAGTCATCTCTGTTATTCTCTGCTATGAGCTGGCAAATTGCACAAGAAAAACATTGTTTAATTTTACAATTCCGATTCGTAGCTCAAATCTTGTGGCTCGAGAGTGGCTCGAATTTGGTTTTCTATCCTCTGCGGGCGTGTGCTTGAATTGAATGAAGTATCAGAGCCAAGCATCATATTTGGCGGCAAAACACTAGAAAAAGAACGAAAAAAAAAGAGGAGTCTTGACTGGTATCATTCGTGAGAGGAGCGATGTATCATTCGTAACCTAGCAGCACTGTACATTTTCGATCTGGGTTGCTGTTGCTGCCGTGGGTGCCAGAAGCTACTGCTGTTGTGTCATCCACAGTTAAAGAAAAGGAGTCTTGACTGGTATTTTTGTTTCCCTTTTCAGTTCTTTGCTCGTCATTTGAATCTCCTTGTACTGTATTTTTGTTTCCCTTTTGTGCAAATCCACTCCGTTTCTCTGCAAATCCACTCTGTTTCTCTGCTCGTCATTTTCGTTTATATATATGATTCGGTTCAAGTCACTCAAATATATATCATGCCCATAGAAACAGATTCGTTTGGTTGTGACTTGAATCTGTTTGGTTCAAGTCACTCAAATATTGATTATTTGAGAGTGAGTTGGTTCAAGTTCTAACTTCTGTTTGGTTCAATAATTATTTGAAAATTCAAGTTACAAGTTTGGAAGCCATCTGTAGAAATGGGTAGTGGCTCGGAGATTTTTGAGGCCTCAAGCCAAACAGGAAAATGGGCATTTGGCAATAAGAATTTTTTTTTGAGATTTTTTGGCCTAAAGGTCAAGCCGCCTCTAGAAGTTAGAACTAGAGTAGTATCGTGTGACCACTATAAGTCAGCTCAGGTTCTCTTTCTGAATCAGATTCACTTCCAATGTGGAGCACACTACTCTATATCATATCAGTCTTTCCAGGCTTACTATTTAAAAAATGAACTCTTTTCCATGTTGGGCTTGCTAATTTCTCTAGTCAAGGTGGGAAGCCATGAAATATGCCAGTAAATCTAACATGTATATTCGCATATATATATTAGATTCATCCCAAATATATCCATAATTTGAAATCAATCTTTTACTACAAGAAGTATAAGAAAGTTTTCAAATCCTGTAGGTCACATATTTGAACAGTTATATTGAAATTGTACCATTTTCTTGTATAGTATTAGAGAATAATTGTTATGATAAATACAAGAATAGTTTTAATACTTTGCATGTCTCCTTATTTGAATAATTTTCTTGAGTTAGCTTCACATGTCTCCTTACTTGATTCCATAGCATTAGATAAAGATAATTGTTTGTAAGATAATTGTTTTGTACTCTAAAATTTTGTATTCTATTTAACTTTGAAGGTACAATGGATATTGATTCGAACAATAATTTTTTCAATGGGAGTGACGAAGTTGAAGAAAAAGATAACAGTCTTTAATTTAATGAGTGTGAAGATGACGAAGTTGAAGAAGAAGAAGTTGAAGAACCTAAGAAGGGAATGTATTTTAGCTCAAAGGAAGAGGTGTACGCATTTTATGCAGAATATGCCAAACACTCGGGATTTGCTATAGCTTATAAATCACAAAATTTAACATGTGATGGGGAAGTTAAGTACTTTGGAATTGAATGTACTAGGGCGCGGAACAGAACAAAAAGATCAGAAATAAATCCCTTGGAACCATCTTTGTTATCAAGAAATGAGTGTAAAGCAAAGGTAAGAGCCAGTCTACAAAAGGATAGAACATATAAGTTAACCACAGTTGTGCTTGAGCACACTCATGGTTTGGTTGCGACTGACTCACGGCATTTTGCAATGAATAAGAGGATTGTTGAGCCGGTGAAGAGGAGATTAGAAGTTAACGATGCAGCAAGAATTGGTGTGGCTAAGAATTTTCATTCCATAGTTGTTGAAGCGGGGGGATATGAGGCATTAACGTTTGATGAATGAGATGCAAGGAATTATATCAACAATGCTAGAATGTTGAGACTTGGGGTAGGAGACGCCGAATCAATTACACATTATTTTCATAAAATGCAACAACAAAATTCAAACTTTTATTCGGCAATTGACCTTGATGAAGATGGTCGCATGCGCAACTTGTTCTAGGCAGATGCAAGGAGTAGGGCGGCTTACAAAGCATTTGGGGATGTTGTCTCTTTTGACACAACCTATTTGACAAACAAATATGACATGCCATTTGCTCCGTTTGTAGGATATATCACCATGGACAACCAATTTTGTTCGGTTGTGGGTTGTTAAGTAATGAGAACACGGAGACTTTTGTTTGGCTATTCAAAGAATGGTTAAGTTGCATGTCAGATGCTCCCCCAAAAGCGATAATAACTGACCAGTGCAGAGCTATGCAAAATGCCATAGAAATTGTCTTCCCAGAGGCTTGGCATTGTTGGTGTTTATGGCATATTATGAAGAAAATTCCCGAGAAATTGAAAGGATATTCACAATACGAGTCCATTAAGGTTGCTTTCAGTAATGTAGTTTATGACTCATTCACAATAGATGAATTTGAGGATTACTGGGAAGTAATGATTGAAAATTTCAATTTGAATGATAACGAGTGGTTGGGGGTATTACACTGTGAGAGACATAGGTGGATTCCTGCCTATGTTAAAGACATATTTTGGGCTGGCATGTCAACTACACAACGAAGTGAGAGTATGAATGCATTCTTTGATGGATATGTGAACTCCAAGACAACGTTGAAGCAATTTGTTGAGCAGTATGACAATGCGTTGAGAAGTAAGGTAGAGAAGGAGACAAGCAGATTTTAAGTCTCGTAACAAATTGTATGATTGCTTAACGGTGTATCGTTTTGAGAAGCAATTTCGTGCAGCTTACACTAATTCCAAATTTAAATAAGTTCAAGTAGAACTGAAGCGTCTAGTGTATTGTCATGCAAATCTTATCAAACAAGAGGGAGCAGTTTCTACCTATCATGTGAGGGAGGCTATTGTTCTGGGTGAGGGGATAAAGAAAGTGGAATTTGTTGTGTACTTTAATTCAACTGAATGTGAGCTCCAATGTATGTGTCGATTGTTTGAGTTTAGAGGTATTATGTGTGCACATTCACTTTCTGTGCTCATTGAGAGATCCATATATGAGGTGCCAACTAAATACATTGTTTCAAGATGGAGAAAAGACTTGGAAAGAGGCTACACATGCATTCCAACCACATATACTAACTTTGGCTCTTCTCTACATCCAAAGTTGCATGATAACTATCACAACACGTTAGATGAGATCCTAGATTTTGCTACCAATGATGATGCTAAACACAAAGTGATTCGACTTAGGTTGATGAAAATCAAGGATGAAGTGAGAACAGTTCAATCAAGTAGTGCGAGCAATGTGCCATGTACTAGTACTTTACCACCTTCAAGTAGTACTTTACCACCTTCCCATACTTCACCAAAAAGTCCGCCTTGTATCAATACTACAAAAGAAAGCATGACTCACAACGTACGAAGTCCTTTGGTTGCTCGCCGAAGAGGCCGTTCATGTACGAAATAAAAGGTTAGCAAGGTTGATGCAATAGTCAATCGGTTGAAGGAAAAGAATAAGAAGGTGCATCAAGGTGAACCTCGTAAGTTAAGCTTTCCTTGTATGTGAGTCGTGCAACACACTATGTATGAACCGGTACGTGTTAAATATGAAGGTTGTTTGGGGTTTTTTATTTTGGCTTCTAATTTTACTGCTTGAAATTAGTAATTTACTTGTGTTACTATTTCATCATTAGGTGCCGCCAAGTTAATATTACTATCGTCCTTCTATGGATGCCATAGCAGATCCTTTCCTTGTCCCGGTAAGTGTTCAATGGACTCAATATATTCCACTTTGTTTGTGGAATTTTGTTTTTATTATTTACTTTATTTTTACAGGCACCAGTTACCACAAGTGGGGACGATATTAGGAGCACATCTCACCAAGAAGCTGGAATGGTCAACAATATTAGCAGTGAAAGATCGATAGTACCGTCATATTTTGTTGACTTGAACATCGACGGGGATCCGAATCTCCCATTTCTTTTTTAGTTTCGAAGTGGTAATTGTACGTGAATTTCATTTGTAAACTTCAGATTATTCACTTGAATGTCCCATATGTTTGAGTTCAATGAAGTGAATGTCCCATATTTTTTAGTTGAATGATTTGGAAATTTTTTGTTATTCTTAGAAATGGTTCTGTAGTGCTTGAATGAATATGTTGTTAGAAATTTTTTGTTATTCCAACCATATGTTATTCTTAGAAATTTTTTGTTATTTTTTGAGTTGAATGAATATATTGCTGATGAAGTCAACTCTGCAAATCTGATCTAATTGAATGAAATCTGTTAGCAATGGTCTCTACAAATCTGGTTTATATCTGGCTGCCCAAATCTACCCTATGTTGTTCTGTTCTGAGTTGCTGATCTGGTCTACTCTTGGAGGTGAATCTGTTATGATCTGTTCTGCATTGGCTGATCTGATCTAATCTGGTCTACTCTTGGAGGTAATTGCTGGTTTATTTGCTGATCTGTTCTGCATTGGTTGATCTGATCTGATCTGCTGATCTGATTTGAGTTTATTTGCTGATCTGATCTGAGTTGCTCAAATGGGAATTGGCTGATTTGATCTGCATTGGCAATTGTAGCCATGTCAAGTTCGCATGATCGTTCAAATAGCTAATGGTAATTTCTTGGTACCAGAAAGGCTGTGGATGAACCTTCTTTATTGGGTCTTGTCTGGAACTTCCCCATAACATTCAATTTAGGGTTTTAGGGGCTTTTCACTAAGAAAATGTATGGTGTGCCCACCCTTGAATGTTATCAGGTTCTTTATCTAACCTAGGTCTTGTTTTATTTCCCAGCCCCAAGTTAACTTCCATATGGATAGCCTTATTTCACCTAATAACTTGAAAGAACTAGGTAAAATTCATTTTTTATTGAGCTGGTGCTGGCATTTGCCAAACCACTTTTTAGCAATCTGAGCTAAGTTCTTTTGCAAGTTTGGATTTTATAATTGAGTTGTTGAGAAGATCAACAAGCTTGATCTATCCTGCAGCTATTGAAATTCCCATGGCAGTATAACAGAATGCTGGTCCTTGTTGCAATCCCACTTTATTTATTTTGTAGATGATTGTTCATTTGTTCTAGGATTTTCTTGAATCCTTCAACCTGATTATCTATCATAAATCCAATTTGATAGACCATCACTGATAAGGCAAATAAACTGAAATGGGAATTGGCTGATCTGATTTGTATTGGCTATTCTGATCTGTTCATTTGTTCTAGGCAGATAGACCATCACTGATAAGGCAATCTGTATGGTACAGGTTGGTTCCAAGTGCCACATGAAGATATAAAATAATTGAGGAAAATAATTGAACAGGTTGGTTCCAAGTGGCACAGGTTGGTTCTAAGCTCCAAGTTCAACCTGTTAAGAAATGCATGCATGTCAACCTTTTCTGAGAAATAATGTCAACCTGTTCAACCTGTTAAGAAATGCATGCATGTCAACATTTTCTCAGAAATAATGTCAACCTATTCAACCTGTTTTCTTACATGCATAGCAATCTTTTCGGAGCACAATTCCCATCATATACACTGTTAAGAAATGCCCCTGTTCATTCAACAAATTTCACACTTTGTCAAGTTCAACCTGTTCAACCTGTTATACACATTCAACCTGTTAATCATTCAAGAAATGCCCCTGTTCATTCAACAAATTTCACACATTGTCAAGTTCACACACTGTTCATTCAACACACTGTTAAGCAACCAACAAAATTCAACAGATTCCACACACTGTTCATTCAACACATTTCATCTCAAACAAACCTGTTATACACTTGTTTTTTCAAACCATCAGATTTTTAAGCACTAAAAAAAAATTACAAAACAAGTAGAAAAGTAGATTACAGTCATAACATGTTCCAAAACCTAACAACTGAGTCATTTACATGATAAAGTATAAAAATACAAAAAATACAATTACATAAGTCATTTCCTTGAAAATTTTCTCCATCCTTTGAAGCCGTCTATCATGCTCACCAACCCTTCTCTTTAGATCATTAATTTCTTCTGTTGTTGAATCTGTCCGAGGTCCAGCAGTGGCACGGATTGTGGAGGTAATGTCGTCGTCGTTGTCATCATCTGCGAACCACCTGAAGTAATTGCAGTGTTCGTTCCTAGTTTACAATGGACAAGAATCAGTTAATCAATAAAGAACAAATCAAATTTGTAAAAGGTAACAGATTCATTTATATAACAGGTACTTACATATTTTCTTGGGCAAACAAAATAGACACGTCCTTGATTTCCATTGTCATTGCTTTGTACAATACGCATGGAAGCTACTCTTCCACAATTACAATACCTTGGCTTTAATCTCATGTCCGTATTATTAGTAGAATTTGAATCCATTTTTTTATCTGCATAACAAATACCAACAGATTCAACTAACGATGTTCTTCTTATATTTTTTTTATCAACAATGCTAGAAGGTTGAGACTTGGGCTTTGGAAATTCAAAAGGATTCGCTACGCTGTGTAGCACAGCTGCAACTCAGCAACAACTAAAGTTTATATAGTCACATTGTGTGTGTGTATTAGAAGGTAGCTTATATATATATATATATATGAGTGATGGTAATGCTTATATGGTCACATTGCTCACAAAGGTTTTGGCAAGGAAAAAATGGATGACTTACATGATTATAAGCCTGCAATGGTTATGTTTGGGCTGCAAGTGATCTATGCAGGGGTTTCTTTAACAACCACAGCTGTTCTTTTGCAAGGAATGAGCCGTAGGGTTTTTGTGGCCTATAGGCAAGCCCTAACTACCCTAGTTTTTGCTCCAATAGCTTATTTCACAAGATTGGTTCTCTCTCTCTCTCTCTCTCTCTTTCTCTCTGATGCATCATAAATATAAAATGTTTCACAATTTTTATAAAATTTTTCACAGTGAGATTGTGTTTAGATCATGAATTTAGGTAGATGTTTGAAAAAATAAAATAAAATAAATAGAAAGAGAAAATGAGACAAATATAAATGAAATATAAGTTAAATTTTTTCTCAATTTCCCTAACCTTTTTGCAATTCCCAATTCAAATTCATCATCCAAAGTGTAATTCTAAATATGCAAAAAACAAAACAGAGAAAAACATGGATGTATGAACAGGATTTTTCAAGATTGGGAAAAATTTGTCACAAATTAAAGGCTATTAAATCAGAATGTGAACATTTGACAATAGATCAATCTAATAAGGGCAAATCCCAAACCCAAATCAGAATTTGTCTAAAAATTTGTCACAAATCAGAATGTGAACACAGAGTATAAGGGCAAATCCTAAACCCTAACTTTGAAGGAAAATCACAGATTTCATTCTTGAACACAGAGTTCACTAATTTCTACAAAAATTGACGCCAAACGTAAACCCTAACTTTGCGATTTCAGGTTTACCTCAGATTCGCTGTCGCAGACTCCCATTCGTCGTGGTTCGTCGTCCTCCGTCCTCCATCGTGGATCGAACTCCTTCAAGAGACAAGTGAGAGAGACGAGAGTGAAGAGGTAGAGAGGAGAGAGGGATGAGACGAGAGTGAGAGAGAGGTTTGTTGAGAGAGACGAGAGGGAACTGCTAAGGAGAGTGAGAGAGGTGAGAGAGGTGAGAAAGGCGAGGGTGAACGGCTAAGAGAGGAAGAGATCGAAAGGAGAGAGAAATTTCAAGTTTCGAGCCATTCGAACCCGAAACATTAATTGTAACAAATGCAAAATCATAGACGTAATATTACATAGTGATGGAAAAGAAATAAAATAATTTTTTATTTGTTAACGTGGTATTATCAGGCTTGTGGGGACCGAATCCATAGACTTTTGATTCTGAAAAGACATGTCAATAATTTCTTGATATTATATATATATTTTAAATTATTGTTGGAGGAGATAAATATTCTGGTGCTAATCTGAAACCTATAAAATTCATGCTGCAATTAATTTCGTTTATTGAGGAAGATGGTGGCTCTGACAATGACTGAAAAACCTTCCTCACCCTGCATTACATTACAAATTTAAAATCTGAATATATATATATATATATATATAAATTATAAGATCATGTTTTGTTTCATTTGTGACTTTTTAAGTTAAAAAAATATAAAAAATAAAATAAGTTTAATAAATTAATAAAATAAAATATTATATTTAAATTATAATTATTTTATTTTTTTCATAAAAATTAAAAAAATTAACTCAAATAAAATTTTAAATTCGTAACTAAAAAGTGTCAATTAAAAAAACGAAAAAACCTAGCCAAACCAACAATTGTTTGGCAAAAGGTTATAAGTGGACTTTGCCTTCGTTTGGCAAGTAAAAAGTCAGGCTTTTTTGGCTAAAATAGCCACAAAAAATAAAATAGGCTATTTTAGTCACAAAAAACAAAACATCAAATCCAACCCATAATCATTACAATCCTCTCTCACAAAAAAAGCCAAAAAAGTCAAAAAGCCAAAAAGCCCTTCCCAAACCAGGCTAAAATAGCCCAGGCTAAAATAGCCAAAAAGCCAACCCACTTCCCAAACGGAGGCTTTTTAGGTTAAGATTAATAAGACTATCTTTTAACGGTTCATCAAACTTTATATTAGATTTGAATTTTGGTAAAAAATTTAGTTTTTGGAGTTCTAATGGTTTCACAAAATTGGTATCAAAATAAAAATAGAACAAAAAATTCATCAAAGTGAGAACATGCTCCAGATTTCACCATTTCACTGTGCGTTACCGTTGGGGTGGGCCAATCGGTCAACCAACCGGTTGTCCAACAGGTCGACCTACCGGTCGACCGGTTCCCTTTCAAATGGTAGGTTCAAACCGATCAAAAAAGGTTCAAACAGGTAAAAAAAAAAATTACACTTACCAATCGACCCTTCCCTCTTGATGCACAGTTGGAGTAAGCCATATCAGATTGAGAAAATTAACTTTTTTTAACTCAAATTTGGTGAAAATTTTGGTTCACCGTTAGAGATGCTCTAAAAAGACAAAATAGGTTAAAATGGTCAATAAGATAAAATGTCACATCAAATATATAATTATTTTACTTTTTTTCTTACAAACGTTATATCTAATTACAAAAAAATTTAATCATCTTTTCAAATATAAAAATTTAAACTTACTAAAATAGTCAAAAAAATAAAATAATCTACTAAAATAACTAACTAAAATCGTCTACGGGTCGTCGTTTTTGGTCAATTTGGGGGCGCTAGCTGTGGTTCAAATTGGGCAAATTGGGCAAATCGGGCTTATTGAAATGATTTCAACAATTCATTCATTTGTAGAGGACTTTAAGAAAGTTATAATTTTAAAAAGAAAAATGAGTCAGACCCCCTTTGTGGAGGACCCCTACAACCCTCTTATTGATCTACACTATTTATGATGTGTGGGGCCCACTCATGTATGTGTGGGGTCCACATCATGAATGGTGTAGATCACAAAGGGGGTTGTGAGGGTCCTCTACAAAGGGGTCTCTATCATTGCTGTTTTAAAAATTAAAACGTTTATTGTCAAAATCACGTTTGTTATCTAATTTGTTTAAAATAATATGAATCGATCATATAGTTACCATTTATATCCAATCAATTTAAATTTTTTTTACTTAAATGATTTGTTTAATTTATATTATAAAATAAACGGTTCAAATTATCTCAATAAGTTCGAAGTGAGTCCCACCAATGGGCACAATAGGCACCAAATCACCTATTTAGTCTAGTTTTTATTTTTTTTAAGTAAAAAAATTTATTTGATAAATAGATTTTGGATAAATTTTTGAGCAATGCCCTATTTTTAGTGAACAAAATATAAAATAAAATAAATAATTGAATTGCAAAAATTATTTTTTCTCACAAAAAGTTAAGGGCAAAATCCATTTTATCTCCCTGTGATATGGCTTAATTGCACTTTACTCCCTTATTTTTAAAAAATAACCATATGCCATTATATAGTTTTAGATTAAAATACAACCGTTAACACCGTTAATTATAAATACGAAATGACTATAACACTCCCAAAACCTATATTTTTTGTTAATTTTGTTCTCTCTCAACTCTTATGCACATAATTTATAATGTCTAATATTAATTTAATTAAATCATAATTAATTATAAATTCTTAATTATTTATCGTAATTCTTAAATTTTTACTCTAATTTTAATTTAATTATATTTTAGATCAATTCTTAATTATTGTTTATTTTGTATTTTTTTAATTATATTTTATATTTTATATCAAATCTTAATTATATTTTATTTTATTTTATTTTATTTTAATTAATATATTAATCTAATTTTAGGTTTGGAGAAACTTGGGGTAAAATTGTCCTTTTGTTATATTAATTTCATTCTAATTTTTTAGAAAATAAAAACCACCCTTAAAAATGGTGTGTGCAATACACCTTCAGTTAAACTAACAGTAGCATTTTCTAAAACAAAAAAGACTTAAACCCCCTGGGGGTGCTCGGGGTCGTCTGTGATTGGACAAAAAAACTTTTTTTTTTTTTTGTCAGCCAACCCCAGGCCAACACGTGGCACTGAGGGTCGCTGGGGGTCGTCCGTACTGAGGGTCAGAAGCATTGTTGTTTCTAAAATCACATAAAGGCTTTTTGACTATATTTGAACCATAGCAGTGATAAAGTGCTTCAACTGCAAACCACAGAGGGCTAAAATGAATTTACCCCAAAAATTAAATGATATGAAAGTGATACTTTGAACCTTTTTATTATTTTTAATTTTAGAAACATAAAAAAATAAAATGGGCATTTATTCATAAATTTATCTTCACCTACTTATGTTTTACTTAATCCGAATTATTTTATTATGTTCCAATAAATTCTATGGGTGACATAGTTACCAAAATACTCTTAATAATGATAGTTTGAAACGTATATTAATGTTCATATTGACGGTGTGAATATTTTATTATGTGAGCATTTACATTGTCAACGTGAACATTCACACCGTTAACGTGACCATTCACACTATCAAATTTATTAAATGTGAATGTTCACATTACTAAGTTGTTAAGGGTTCAAAAATATTTGTAAAAGTTAAATTATCTATAAAACACATTAAATATGATAATTAGGATTTGTTAGATCAAATGTCTAAAATAATAAGATTTATTAAAATATAGAAATATCTTATAAATTAATTAAAATATAAGTAATTGAAGGAGAATTTTCTAATAAATTCCCTAGGAACAAAAAAAAAAAAAAAAAAAAAAAAACAAACAAACAAACAAACATACCAACAAAAAACAAACAAACAAACAAACAAACATACCAACAGGTCCTACGGCTTTGTGCAAACATCGAATAATTTTTGTTTAAACAAACTACACCACAACTATTTTCATGGATACTTGTTCATATGATTTAAGTTGTCCAAATTATCAAATTATTATTTTTGCCTAACAATTTAAAAGTTAACAATTATTAATTTGTACATTCATCTCTAGTTGGATCACATGGACAAAAAAATAAATAATAATAATAAAAAAAGAGGACTAAAATAGATGAAATCAATAATTTAAAATTGAAATCTGAAAATTGATGATAGTTAAGAGATAAAAGTGAAATTAACCCTTCCACTATTAATGAAACTTTTATTATTACTCTTCTAATTTTTATTGGTTAGTTATCATATTTTATTACCTAGTACTAGTGTTTTATCTTGACACAGAGATATTTCATTTTGCCTGTGTTTGGCAAGGGCTTTTTCAGGCTTTTTTGGCTATTTTAGCCACAAAAAACAAAATAGGCTATTTTAGCCATAACAAACAAAACATCACATCCAACCTATAATCATTACATTCTTCTCTCACAAAAAAAGTCAAAAAAGCCAAAAAGCCCTTCCCAAACCAAGCTTTTTAGCCCAGGCTAAAATAGCCAAAAAAGCCAAAAAGTCAAAAAGTCAACCCACTTCCCAAACGGAGGCTTTGTATCTCATTTAGGCTTTGTTTGGCATGTCATATTAGGGTTAAAATAATCATAAAAAGATAAAATAGACTTTTTAGCTCAATAAGACATAATTTCACATCTAAACTATAATTATTTCATTTTTTTCTCATAAAAGTCAAAAAAGTCAAAAAAACTTATCTTAAACGAAACTTTTTAGACCCAAACTAAAATAATCAAAGAGTCAAAAGGTCAACCCACATCCAAACGAAGCCTTATGTTGTCAAGCTATCAAAATAAAAAAATAAATAAATAAATAACGTTATCAAAATAACAAATAAAAAATATATAAAACAGAAAATGATGCCACAACATTTTATCTATGACGTTATCAAAAAAAAAATATATATATATAAAACAGAAAATGATGCCACAACATTTTATCTGTGACGTTATAACACAATATTTACAATCTATAAATTTGACATTTTTGTCCAAGACAATGATGTTGATTCCTTAATTTACATTAATTTGACAAGTAATTTTAACATTAATGATATGATTCCTTGTCTTCAAATTTACATCAATGTACAATCTATTAAAAGAATTAAACATAAATATATTGTCTATTTTTTTAACATTTATCCTTCCTTTGAGTTATATTTGGACTATAGGAAAATAAGAAAATAGTGATTTTCCACGACAATTGTGACTTGGATGTTATGTGTTTGAAATACCAAAAACAACAGTGTTTGATTTGAGTTTTTTGAATTAAGTTTTTTGAAAATTCAGTTTTTTGGTTTTCGTATTTTTTTGTTTTTAGTGAATATTTTTAAAATTTTAAACATTTTTTTTACTTTTTTAGATCCACCTTACTTAGATGTATCTAAAAAGTAAAAAATTTGTGAAAAAATATTTTAAAATTTTAATAAATACATAAAAATATAAAAAATGTACTGAATTCTCGTATTTTTTTTTATATTTTTGGTATTTTGTGAATTTTTAAATAGTTTTTTTTACAAATTTTTTACTTTTTAGGTATATTTATGTTAGGTATGTCTAAAAAGTAAAAAAAAAAATTGCTTAAAATATTAAAAAAATTCAGTAAAAACAAAAAAATACGAAAAATAAGAAAGTAGAATTTTTTGAAAAGTATTTTTGAAAAAACACAACCAAGCTATGTGAAAATAAGACGGTGTTTGCGTACTCTGTAGTAGTGAAAACCTTGTAAATTAAATTACTTTTTTTAGAAAAATATAAACAAATAAATATATATGTTTGGTTAGTTGTAAAAAAATATGTATAAATAAATATCTTTTCATTTATTTTTTCCTTAACAAATCCAAGATTTAAAATAAGTTGGGTTTACTAGTCTAGCCAATGTGTAGTGTCAATCAGTGTATGTTATATTATTGTAATATGTTGGAGTGATTATGTGAACTTATTATATTATTATAGACAAACTAATTTAATACCAAGTACGTTGACAATATAGCAGTTACTGTAGCAATTATGTTCATGTATCGTAACATGTTTGTTGTTTGTTCATGTATTGTAACATGTTTGTCCTAACGATTGCTACAGTAACTGCTACAGTGTCACAGTACTAATATCACATGATTTTATATACAATAATAGAACAGATTCACATGATTGCTCTAACATATTACAATAATATGAACACATAATATTTTCTTCTTCTTTTTTTACTTGTTTTTTTTCTTTTCATAACACTCCAAATAATTTTTTGTCAAACATTTACCAATTCAATTCTAGTTGCTAGTCCAAATCCACAATCAAATGTTCATGGGACAGTCAAATTTGAGATACCAAAAGCAAATGCAATAATTAATTGCATGAACAATATATATTAAATATATATCTTTATATTCATTTCTTATTCTTTTCAATATTAAATACTTATCCCAAAAGATATTCACCATTATTGGTGTTCCTAAGTTGACGTTGCTTTCAAAATAAATAAAAATAAAAAACAAGACTAAAATACAAATCAGCCCACTAGTTATATTTTTTTCAAGCCTCTGTTTGCCCACCAAACTCTCAGACCTCAGAAAAACAAGGTTGTTTCTGTGTAAACTGAGAAACTCTTCATCAAAACCAATGATATTCCCGCAAGACAATCACATACACAAGTTTTCAGCTTTTGGGTATGTCTATTTCTATCTCTACTTGACAATCACCAGAATGGGCTTGACATAAAGAGAAAAAACATTTTCTGGGTCTTGGTAGAGTGTTTGTTTGGCATGAAAGAAAGAATATCTTGATCTTTTGAGGTGATACTTTTCCTGCGTATTGCTAAATTGTTGTCTATGTGAGTTTACGTTATGTGGGTATTGCTTGTTTTGGTCAGAATTCATGTTTGTATAGTTGGGTCTTGGTAGTGTTTGGCATGAAAGAAGGAAAATCTTGGTGTTTTGAAGTGATAATTTTTGTGGGTATTACTAAATTAAGATATGGCAATGGAAATTGTTGTCTCTGTGGTCTTACTTTTTGTGGGTATTGCTGTTCTGGTCACAATTCATGTTTGTATTGTTGGGAGGGCATTTAGGAGGGGATATAACAATGGTACAGTGGTTGTACAGGTAAGTACAAGCATTAGAAGCCCAAGCATGTCCCAGGAAGATATCAAGAAACTGCCTTGTTTTGAGTACAAAATGGAAGAAGACAAAGAGAAAGGTAATAACTCAAGTCCTATGGAATGTGCAGTGTGTTTGGAGAGTTACAAATTGGGTGATTTGTGTAGATTGTTGCCTAATTGCAGCCATAGCTTTCATGCTCAATGCATAGATTCATGGTTGTCAAAGTCAGCGATTTGTCCAATCTGTCGAACCGATGCCAATTCACCCCAGGTTGGTGATTCAAGTGAAGTTGGAGTTGAATTGGTGTAGAAATGGGGGGTTTTTGGATTGTGAAGACTTTTGTTGCTATTTCTTGAAATGTTTATATTCCTTACTGTGTATTCCAATTTCAGCGTGCCCTTATTTGATCAAATACCCTTTTGTCTTGTCGTTCGCAACTTTAACGTGCCTTATCTGATCCGCACCTTCTGACAGCCTCGAAGGTCAGGCTAATCGACGTTGATGACCGTTGTCGGCCGGTTTCCGTGCCGCTCTGAGTCTGCAGCAATCTGGTTCAGAATAAGTTGGTTTTAGTCATGTGTGTGTGCAAATCCAGGTGTGTTACGATCTCATCACATATAATAATTAGTATTTAATTAATTAAAGATATTTAAATTTTAATTGTTCATTATTTTGATTTAATTTGAAATTTATGACAATTATTGAGTTGGATTTGTAAATGATTTTATTAAGGATTTATTTTGAAATTAAAAATTGAACGTTCAAATAGTCTAAGGAGGTGAAATTGATTAGTTGAATCAATTTAATTTTAAGTATTGGACTATATGAGAGATTAATTAAATATTCGATTTAATTTCGACTCAGTTTAGTAAAATTAAGATTTGATTAATTGAGTTCAAATTGAAATTAATTAAGCTAATGTGATTATGAGGATTAGTAATTGTAATTATAAGGTGTTCGAATTGAATATATAATTTATTGATGGAGATTTTGAGTTTGATTTGAAATTGAAGGCCTTGATGATTTGAGAAACCAAAATTGATGATAGAAATAAGTTTAATTTGATATTTAAAACCTTTTGGTAGTTTGATTAAAAATCTGATTCAGATTGGTAAAAATTAAATAAAATTAATTGAGTCTTGATTGAAGACAATTAAGCTAATTAAATTATGTAGGTGTGGGTGTGTTGAGAAATCTGTGTGTATCCTGAGAAATCTGTGTATGGCCGTGCATGATAAGGAATGTGCTGAAAGCTTTGTAAGTGTGTATGTGTACACGTGTTTCATTGTCAAAGAAGTGGGATGTTGTGTGTAAGATTGCACCAAGGATCCTCTAGAGTGTTTTTTTCTTAAAGTTTCCTAAAGTGGTGCATTGTGTGGTTGAGATTTAATGTTGAAAAATTGATGTGACTTGCCATTAAATCTCAACCACATAATGCACCACTCTAGGAAACTTTAGAAAAAAAAAACTCTAGAGGATCCTTGCTCGTAAGATTGAAGGAGTCGAGGTGAACTCAATATACATGTTTGTATGTTTGTGCTGGAAGAGTTAGAAAGAGAGTGAGTTCTATAGTTAAGGGAGAATGTAGAGAGAGAGAGAGAGAGAGAGAGCTCATCTCATCTTGGTTGCTAGAAAAGAAAGCTTTGTTAAAGAGTGAGAGAATTCAAGATATACCACAAAGAAAGTAAAGGAAAAGTGAAGAATTAAAGATAGACTATAGAAATTTTGAAAGGGTTCACCAAATTCAAGAGTTTAGGTAAGAAATTCAAGCTTAATCCTTATAGTTTAATTACTTAGCAACTAAAATCAAGTGGTAATTGGGTTTAATTTCATGAAATTAGAAAGAAATTGGATTTTGAACATGAAATAAGTTGCATATATGATCGTGGAAGATAACTTGTAGTTTCACCAATTTTGGGTTGATTTTGAAGGCTATAGTAAAAATAAGCTTCATAAATCACATGCAATTTCATTGTACTTTGATTTTGGAGAAGAATTTTAGAAACCATGAGTTCATGGGTTTTGATTTTGAAACTAAGCAAGGTTTTGATTAAAATAAATTAATTAATAATTATGTTTCATGATTTTGAGTTTGGATTTGTAAAGTATTGATGTATCAAAATTTTTGTATTAAGTTTTATTTCAGAAAAATTCATGAGTTTCATGTTCAATTTCAAACTTATTTTTCAAAGGAAAAGAAGTTGAAAATATTTGCATACATGATGTTTTGATCTAAGTTTTGAGAATTTAATGAAATTTTGAGCAAATAATTTATAAATAAGTATTTATGTTCTCAAAAATGTTTTCTAAGTTTTGATCAAGATATGTATGGTTTCAAGATTGAAAAATGTGTTTGGAAGTCATATTTGAGAAATTCAGAATTCTAGAATTTTACAGACCGTTAGAGCGGACTAATTATCGCTTGAGCGCACATTGAGGCTTATAATACTTTTACAGTCTTTTACAGACCGCTCGAGCGACTAAAGGTTCACTCGAGCGAATAGCTTTTTCAGCATATTTTGAAAAAATTGCATTTAAGGTCATATTTTCATTCTCATCTCTTCCCACATATTCTTAGGCATGAATTATGACTCATTGAGGATTAATAAACTAACAATCAACATAAATTAGTTGGTTAAAGAATAAGGCATTGACCTAGTAGTAATTGATTAAGAAGCCATGTAAGAAATCGATTTATTTGGAAAAGAATGATTTAGTAATGAAAAAATATGTGAAATGGAAACCCGATTCATTTGAATAAAATAAAAAATAAGCATAGTACAATTTCGAATTACTTAGACAGAAAAAGACAAGAGAAGTCAAGTTTGATCAATGAAGTAATATTATATTTCAATGTGTATATGTTATGTGTTTGTGTAGGTCACGCACTACCATCTGTCTGATCCGTCCATTCTGCTTCTGGAGCTATCTGTGAGTAGTAACTCTGTAAAATTATGTTTGACTATAAGTATTTTCTACATGAAATGATATGATAATCTCTGTTTTCTGAAATGATAATTTCTATATAGATGAATGATTGTCTTATTTATGAAATATATCATGGCATCTATAGCATTATGTCATGTTATATGTTAACTGGTGTTATATGTTAACTCGTACCAGAGTTTCAAGTGGATTCCATTCATGGAACTGATTGTGCATAATCAATTATATGATCTGCAAGTGGGTCTTTATGACCATCTCATGTGAATATGGGTCTTTATGACCAGCTACTTTGCATATGAGTCTTTATGACCATCTTATGTGAATATGGGTCTTTATGACCAATCTGATCTATTAAAGCTAATAGATGCATCACGTATGATTGTTTACAAATCTGAATATGTATATGAATCTGTTTCTAATCTGAATTCTAATTTATGAATCTGTTATGGACATCATTCATCAAAACTTTTATTCTGTTGTTATTCACTAGGCTCCAGCTCACTGTATTATTTATGTATAAGTGATTAGGCGCGTAACCAGGCCTAGTTCTTCTGCCTGAACTCTGTTTTTGTTAGTCAACCTATGTGCCTCTCGTGGAGGCTCCAAATATGTTAAGTGGTCATGGCTATGTAATTAAAGTTTAAGTTTTTGTTTCTTGTTTTGGTTGAACAAGTTTTTGTTTATTTTGTAAATAGGGCTAAGTTCCCTTTTTGTCTTATTTGTACAAATGTGATGACGTAAGGGTAATGTATGATATATGCATATAAAGTTTAAATTTTTTTTGTCTCATATATGTCTGCACAGCTCAATGGACGATGTATGTTTGTATTTTGCTTCTGTTAGCCTCTAATATTATGTATCTGTTTAAGAGGCTTTCGGTAATCTTAGGATTACTGGCCAGTCATGATACTAAACCTATAGGGACGGGTTTGGGTCGTGACAAGGTTTCAGTATCATACTCAAATGATGCTCTTGTTTGCAATAGGGGTGTACAAAAAACACTAACAGGTAAGGTTAATTGCTTTTTTTTTTTTTTTTTTTTTGAAGAATAGACTAAAGTAATTTGATTTTCAATTTAATTGTGGAAACGTAAGTGTAATAAAAATATATATCTAACTAGATTCATTGTCATTGGGGATCTTGTTAATTGTAATTACATTCATTCTGACCTATACTTTCATATGAAATGAAACTTTCTCTTCTTGTGTCTTTTTTCCTAGAAAATTTAACCCGATATGTTTGTGCCAATTCTTTTGGTTCAAATAAGATAATTTCATCTAAAAAACAAAAGTGACGATATAGTCCAAAATCAAGATGGGTTATACATATATATTTATATATATATATATTCATCTCAACTGTCTATAAACTACATTAGCAATATTGAAACTTTACTTAAAAGATTAAAGAGATGACTGTCATAATTAAAAATGAAATGATCAAAGTGACATTTGAAGAGAGTCAAATGTGATTTACCCAAAACATAATGAAGAACTCATATGTGAATTTGCTTTAGGGTTTTTTTATTTTTTATTTTTTATTATCAGCAAAATGAAACTTTATTAATGAAATCAATGAAGCACAGATTGATATACTTAAATAAAGGCAAGGCAAGAGCAAACAACATCATAGCGAAAATTCCTAATCCTAACTAGGTTAGCACCAAGGATAACCCGCAATCATATGTTAGTTCAAGCCAACATGTTGGAGAGAGACCAACAAAAGGAAGCAACAACAAACAAAAAGACAAGCACCTAAATAGAAAAGCTGTTGCGTCATTTGATTATCAAGCCCTTCAGACCTCCCAAGTTGAACACAAAGTCATTGACTGTGTAATCTTTGAGATTGGCAGAGTGCTTCACTCAAATTGCAACTTTGAACTTAATGTTCTCCACCAAGTTCTCCCAGTTAGGATCCTTGTTATTAAAGATCTTCTCATTTCTTGCAATCCAAAGGGTCTATAGTGTTGCTAAAAGAATTGCTTTCCAAATGAGTTTTCCTAGGAGCTTTGATTTTTAGCTATACCACCATTTAAGCAGATCAAACAGTGAGGATGGAATTGCCCAAGAAAACTCCCACCAGATTGAGATTTTAGCCATACCTTCCATGAGAACTGACAATGCAGCAGCATATGAGATGATGATTCCTCTTCAATCCCGCAAAAAACACACGAATTTGAAGGTTGAATAATGTGTATTTTGAAAAGTATATCAAAGGATGCTATTCTATTCCACTAGACTAACCAACCAAAAGCTTTGATTCTGGATGGTGCCACTGAATTCCATAGCTTCATCATAAGAAAAGGAGTTAAATGCAATGATTCTTCAAGGATGGTGTACAAATACTTAACAGAGAAAGCTCCTTTAGATGATGGGGGAGACCAAACCAAAACATCAGTTGATCCATCTCTATTGAAAGCCACATTTTGCAATCTTGAGAGTAGATCCTGATGAAGCTCATCTTCCCAAACTCTACGATTTCTTCTATAAATAATGTTCCATTCAGGGGAGCTAGAACCATTATTATTGTGGAGAATCTGTCTCACAGAGAAATCTTTATTAGAAGCAAAAGAGAATAATCTAGGATAGATCTTTGACAAGGAAGGGTTAGACACCTAATTGTCGTTCCAAAACTTGATTCTGCCTCCGTCCTCAATCTTCAAATGAGTATTGTTAAGAAATAAGTTTAACATTCTGGATTCGAACCTCTCCTTCGAAGAAATATACCTTCACACAGATGAACAAAGTTTAAACTTTGATTAATTAGGCAGCCAACTAGCATGATCGACATCATTTTTTTCATAAATAACTTTTCTCCAGAGGGCATCGGGTTCAGGGGCAAGCCTTCACCACCATTTGCATAATAAGGCTTCGTTGTAATCAATGGTTTTCCAGAAACCGAAACCCCAAACTTCTTACTTACTGAACAAGCCTCCCAACTAAGAAGATGAAGCTTCTTTTCTTCTTCTTTTTTTTATCATTTCCACCCTAAAGGAAAAATCTTTTATATTTATTAATTTCACTAGCTACCTTAGTAGACATTTTGAACAAAGACATATAATACAGTGGGAGAGAGGACAAATCTGATTTGATAAGTGTAATTCTTCCTCTTACGAAGAGATATTTTCTTTTCCAAGAGGAAAGTTTTTTTTTGACTTTCTCCAAGATAGGCTCCCAGGTTTTCTTCATCTTTAGGTTTGCTCTAAGGGGCATACCAAGATAAAGTATTGAAAGGGAATTCACATTACATTTGAAATACTCTGTAACTTGAAGTGCAAAGTCATTACTCACGCCAACTCCACAAATCAGAGACTTCTGATAATTAATTTTTAACCCACAGACAAGTTCAAAATAGCAGAGGATCCTTTTCAAGTTGATGATCTCATTCCACTCTGGATTGCAGAAGATAATGGTATTGTCCACAAACTGGAGATGAAAGAGATTAAGACCTGTTTGTCCAATGCCAACTCCTTTAACAAGATTGAGTGATTTAGTGTAATGCCCTGGAATTTCTCATAAGGAAAGGCCAAGATAAACGCAAGAATATACTCAAAAGTCATCTTTTTCATTGAACTAAAAGTTAGAGGATTACAATTAACCATGCACAATCTCACAAGATTCAGGATTCATATATCAATTCAATGAACTAGATGGCCTTACAAATTATAAGCCTCTAGGGCATACAATAACAACAAAATAACTTGATAGTCTTATTACAAAAATCCTAACTCAAAATATCAAAATACACTTGAGTCAACTTCTTTCCAAAAAGAGCTACAGTTGGATCTCATCTATCAAGGGGGTGGTACTTCATCAATTCCTGAAAATTAACAGAGGGTTGAGTTATATGCCCAGTAAGAATACATTTAACCAAGTATTTAATCTTTTCAAATTGGATTATGGTATCTTTGTGACAAAACGGAACAAGAAAATTTATCCCCACATATGGTCTCAATCAATTATAGCAATACATAATAACCCAAGTGTAACAGTTATAATTCATATCTTCAGGCACCATGTAATTCATGCCAGCAAGCACCACAATCAAACAATCACAACCATAGAAGACAAACCATGAGTCCGCCTGTAAGAGTCCAATTCAAAACACCCATTTGCTTTTTTTTTTAAAACCACCCCCGTATTTGCCAGCTATTATATGGCAGGGAGTGGGCACCCAAAGAAAACCATCCGTTTTTCCATTTTCGCCGGCTATTATACGGCAGGACTGTGTGGACACCCAAAGGCCATTTTTTCCACATTAGTCCAGTGATAAGCTTAAACAGGGCATTTGGGCACCTTTTAAACTCCTCGCGCGGGTACCAATACAACATCACACTTTCAAAACTGACTCTTACCCGGACTCATGCACAATCAACAATTCAATCACATTTTATTTCAATTAACAACCATCTAACATTGCCAAAGATTGGAATACAACACCACATTTTAAAGAAAATAACATCCAAGCCTCAATTCATTTACCATAACAATTTCCACATCTTTCACCTCTTTATTATTCACAGCATTCCATGAGTTAAAAGGAAATTCCATTCAATTTGGGGTTTTCAACTCAAATTGAAAATTTAAGGTTTTACCAAATCTGGGGGTTTGTCTTGTTTATCATTGAAATGGGTTTCAACAATATTTATGTACATGTTTTGAGAGAAGAGTATAAAGAAATTTCAAACCAGAGTCAAATAAAATGGTTTCTTATGTAGAATATAGGAATAATCCAACAATATTCTCAAATTGGCTTATAAATCATAACCACACCATGAAATCAGTTCAAAGAAAAGAAATACTAGGATAAAAGTATCCTTGCCTCTATAAGTAAGAAGAAAATGAAGCCCCTTGAAGAATCCTTCGCAAAATCAAGATCCAATTGGCGAGAAAGTAAGTTCTCCAAGTGTTATTCACTTTTTGCTAGATGATCTAAGCTAAATCTTAGTGGAATGGAAGGTATTTTAGAGTGAGAAACTAGGGTTTTTTGGAAAAGAGGAGAGGAGAGGGAAGATAGAAATGAAAAGTGGAAGGAAAGATCTAGAATCGCGTTTTTAAAGTTGCTAAATTCGCGCAGCCCGCTCGAGTGCCACATTTCCCACTCGAGTGTAAGTCACAAACTAAGAGGCCCGCTCGAGCGACGAATCCCTTGCTCGAGCATAAAATGACAAGTCCCAGAAGTTTTACAGAGCTACAGGAGAACAACAAGGAGCCAACATTCTTCGCTTGAGCGCCATTTCCTACGCTCGAGCGTCCCGCCTGCAAACTCAAAAGATACTGAGAGTTAAGATTTTCCGTTCGAGTGCCTCTTTTGACGCTTGAGCGGACCCAGAAACAAAAGTTTCATATTTAGCCCTCTGCAAGAAAAGAAATACTAGGATAACCACACCATTTCCTACGCTCGAGCGTCCCGCCTGCAAACTCAAAAGATACTGAGAGTTAAGATTTTCCGTTCGAGTGCCTCTTTTGACGCTTGAGCGGACCCAGAAACAAAAGTTTCATATTTAGCCCTCTGCATGAGAATGTTAAAACCCTCTACAACCAAATTAAAAAGAAAAAGAGACAGAGAATCTCCTTGCCTCAAGCTTGGATATAGAGAGAACTCCTGTGTTGGTGAGCCATTTACTAGCACTGAGATGTTTGAGGACGAAAGGCAT